TGCATGTAAAAAATTTTCAAATTTCTAATACCCACCTTTGACAATATTGCAAATCGGTTTAATACACCTTATGGGGAATTTCACGCTCTTTAAAATTGCTTTTGAGTTTTTTTGTAACTCTCATTGGTTCACCAGTAGGAGTCGTCAAAGGACAGTTTTTGAAAAAAATCGTTTTTTTTTTAATTTTTTCTAACAAACCGCTAAAAGTAGGGAGAAAAAAGGGCTGAATCATAAAAAAGTTATCCACCCATATTTAATGAATTTACAGCCATTTCAATAACTGAAAACGTAAGAAATTGATAATTACCAACTCATAATGTTATTTAGATTGATTTTTTCTATTTATTATCATTATATTTTCCTACACTAAGAAGTTTTTTAAAATTATTGATTTCTCACTTATAATGAATATGAAAACAACAGATAAATTCATAAAAAAACAATAAGAAAATTGTAACGTGGATTTTGCAATTTTTCAACATTTCTGTCATATAGCAAAAAAATATAAATGAAGATTATTTAATTTTTTGAAGCGAAATTTGAAATATGTTACATAACCTTCTGTATATTCCGATTAAAGTTTTGTTGTTTTTTTTTATGAATTTATGTGTTGTTTTCATATTCATTATGAGTGAGAAATTATAATAATTTTAAAAAAGTTCTTAGTGTAGGGAAATACAGCTCGTTCAGACTAAAACCGAATATATCTATATATATATGGGGCGTGGCCTCGCTCCCTCCAACGCGCGACACAGTAGCCAAGCAAATGCTAATGAGATTTTTGCATTATTATCATTTAATTTTTTAAGTCCTTACCTGCTCGACCTTTCGTCATGGCGTTTATCACACAAGCAACTGTGACGCGCCTTGGAGGGAGGCGAGGCCACGCCCCATATATATATAGATATATTCGGTTTTATTCTGAACAGGCTGTATAATAATAATAAATAAAAAAAATCAATCTAAATAACATTATGGGTTGGTATTTATCAATTTCTTACGTTTTCAGTTATAAAAATGGCAGTAAATTCATTAAATATTGGTTGGATAACTTTTTTTTTATGAATCAGCCCTTTTTTCTCACTACTTTTGGCGATTTGCTCGAAAAAATAAAAAAACGATTTTTTTCAAAAACTGTCCTTTGACGACTCCTACTGGTGAACCAATGCGAGTTACAAAAAAAAACTCAAAAGCAATTTTAAAGAGCGTGAAATTCCCCATAAGGTGTATTAAACCGATTTGCAATATTGTCAAAGGTGGGTAAGCATTAGAAATTTGAAAAAAATATATATTTTTTACATGCATTTTAAACGGTAAAACTTTAAATTTAAATAGTAAGTGCTTAAAATTAATATTAAGAGTTCAAACTTGGTGAGAATGTTTTTTCCTATAGGAAAAAACATTCTCACCAAGTTATATATATGCAGATTAATATTCTCACCAAGTTATATATATGCAGATTAATATTTTGCTTGAGCACCGAAAAAAAACAAAAACTTTGCGGAAATAAATCACCCTAGTACTGAGTCGACTATCTGTAAACATGTCTGCTTTTTGAGAGAACTTTAAAGTGGTAACCCTATGCAAAACAGTCACTTAAGTATGTAGTAAGCATGTAGTGTAGCAAGAACGTGGCAATGACCACCGAAATTATATAATTTTGTTGTTACATTCAAGGAAAAAGTTTACACAACTTACAAGTGGTGTTAAAAGTGGTTATAACCAAAAATTTATTAATAGAAATTATACAGTGCGGACGTTAAAAGTCCCGCCCCCTGTTATCTTTTGAAAGAAAAAAGGTATCGGCATCGGACAAAAACCATTGTCAAGGACATTAAAAATACTACTTTTTGACGTCAAATTGATAGGTGCCCATTTAAGGAGCGCCAAGAGGGCAGTATCAACTTAAAAATTTCAAAGGGAAACGGGGGTCTTGTGATACCTCATTTGAAAGGTATTTCGATTCTCTTCTATTTGATGCTATTTAAATTTTTAAAATCCGTTTAACGGTTGCTGAGATATTAAACGTTTAAATAAAATTAAGTCTCAAATCAAATTTTATTATTAAGTACAAGGTTTTCATTCAATTCATTCAATAAATCATCAAATAAGATGTTCGAAATGCTCCCCTTGGACATTTTGACACAATAATAGTCTGTTTCTAATTTCAGTTCTCACATTTGTAAACGTTTCTTGGGTAATATTTGCACATTCATGTCTAATAAGTTGTTTTAGGTCATCAATTGATTCTGGTTTGGTGATGTAGACCTTTGATTTTAAATAACCCCACAAAAAAAAGTGGCGTTAAATCAGGATACCGAGCCGGCCATTTGGTAGGACCACGCCTACCAATCCACCTATTTGGATAAGTCTCATCAAGCCACAGTCTAACATCCCTAAAATAATGTGCGGGCGCTCCATCTTGTTGGAATGTTACTTCCATGTCAAATTCGTCAGGATTAGCTTGAACTATATCTTGAATCATTGGATGCATTTGTGTTTGAAGCATGTTTAAGTACAAGATGCCTGTTAAATTTCCTTCCAAAAAGATGGGTCCTTCAATATGGTTTCCCAGTTGTCCCGCCCATATATTGACTTTTTGTGGATACTGGGTATGACCTTCACGAAAATCATGTGGGTTAACATCTGACCAGTAACGTACATTTTGCCGATTTACATTGCCATTTAGGAAAAAAGTACTTTCATCACTAAAACAAATTGATTGCAAGTACAGGGGATTTTGTATTATGCGCTCAAACATAACTTCACAAAACTGTACTCTGCGATCCGGGTCATCTTCAGTAAGTTGATGTAATATTTTTAATTTATAGGGATGAAATTTGTTTTTTTTTAATATTTTTTAACAGTTGATCCCCTGCAAGTGCCGCCGTCGATTGTTGTGGATTATTGAAGACGGAACCGACTATTGCTATTTGTTTGTCTTCTGAGATTGATGGTCTACCCGATCCTTTCTGCCTACTTAAACTTCCAGTTGTTTGAAATTTAGTCACTAACTCCCGTAGATATTTTCTGCAAATAGGGTTGTTGGGTACCTTTCATTAAATAACCTCTCTGCTTGGTGCAAATTACGTCCAACTTCAGCATAAATAAAAATTGCTTCTGTTTTTTCTTCCAACGGGCGAGCGCGAACCATTTTTCAATGAAATAATAAGTAAAATTGCAGGCATAACTGATAAATAGTGTTACACTAAAGAGTAGTATTATAAACCGCCTTATAACTACAATGGTAGATATGTTTTTTTTTACAAAACAAAAACAAAAAAGTGTCAAAAAAATAAATAAATGTTGATACAGATTTACGATAATTCGCACCGCCAGGGCCGGATTTACCGAACAGGCAACGTATGTAGCTACCTAGGGCGGCAAGAAAATGTATTAGTTTGAAAAACTGAAATGCTCAATTACTTGGCAACCGTTAAACGGATTTTAAAAATTTAAATAGCATTGAATAGAGAATCGAAATACCTTTCAAATGAGGTATCACAAGCCCCCCCTTTCCCTTTGAAATTTTTAAGTTGATACTACCCTCTTGGCGCTTCTTAAATGGGCAACTATCAATTTGACGTCAAAAAGTAGTATTCTTAATGTCCTTGACAATGGTTTTTGTCCGATGTCGATACCTTTTTTCGTTCAAAAGATAACAGGGGGGGGACTTTTAACGTCCGCACTGTATTCTGATGGTGCAAATTACGTGATCACATGTGTTATAATAGTAGATATATTTTATAGTTTTATAAGACATAATGACATGAGTAATTTTTTCGCACGTGGACAATTTAAGAAAAGAAAATGTCTTATTACATAATTCTTTGTACGATTTTTTATATTTGTCAGAATTTTATGAATTATAAATTATATTTGCGTATTGGGTTATTGCCATGTATTTTTGCCATGAAGACAATACCAAATGCAAATGCGTATCCTACTTGAATTTGGTATATTTGGAAAAATAATGTTTTATTATTTATTATATAAATGAGCACAAATACGTCTAAATAAAGCGTTAGATTAATATATTCAAGGGCTCTTATCGTTGTCCCCTGTCATTGATGGGGCCATTTAAAGGGTCACACGATCAAGTGTAAATATTTTCCCGGGCGGTAGTCTGCATTCAGCACAAGACATTGATAAATATACGTTGTCTGTTAGGAAATTTGGCAGAGCGTTCTCTTTATTAAAACGGCTCGCAATGTTTGCCCGGATCGAAACTCATCACTGTCAATGAGATCAACGATCCCAATGACATTTTTAAGGGGGCCGTGAAAACGCTGCACGCATACCAACTTAAATTACACGCTCCAAAAATCATATATTTCGTTTCCTATAATTAGGGTATACTTGCTTTACTCCAACTGCTCTTTAGTTAAAGCTGGACCTTTTCAGTCTAATTTTAATCTCTTAAAATATTGATGACTGGCAAGCAATACAAAATTCTACATCCAAAAATGACACAAAAAGTTTCTTTTAACATTTGTCCTTTATTTTCAAAATATTTAGTGAGGAAAGTAAAAAAGACGAAATAAGAAAAAAAATCGTTGGCTTGAAAATTATTATAATATATATTACCAATGTCTAATTTATTACTAAATAATATTATTACATATATATTTATATATACATATTTGTGGTATAATGTTTTCGAGCCACCACCCGATTTCTCATTTCGTCTTTTTTACTTTTGTGTATCATTTTTGGATGTAGAGTTTGGTATTATTGCTTGCCATATAAATTTAAAAAAAATTAATTTACTAACAAAACAATTATTAGAAAAACTTGCACTGCAACAAATGTTATCGAAAATATTTCCATTATTTATACTTCATCTACATATATGCTTTTTTTAGTAAACCAAGATTTTTGGAGCTGATACTAGAAATATTTTATTTAACCATACTATACTACACGTTTGCAGTTAATTTTATTATTTTTTTTTGTTACAGCATTTTGACTGCAGAAACCATATTCGAGTTATACAGTCTATGGGAGAAGGAAATCGCCTCTATGTTTGTGGAACAAATGCCCATAATCCCAAAGACTGGGTTCTTAATGTAAGTATTTTTAGCATTTATTTTTTTATACCATGGATATCGTTAGTGCACTTTTGCATAGAACGTAACACAATTTTCAATAAAAAAAATTATAGACTTGAAAAAATAAGAATATGTAAATTTTAGTTTCAAAAATAAATTTTGGAACATATCTTACCCCTAAAATATTTTTCCTCCCCTGCACAATTTTGACCGAAATGGAGACTTCGAATTTGTGACAATATCAGAAACTATTTCAATTGCTTAAGCTACCCCCTTTTCATAGATGAGGGTTATTCTTTCTACTGAAGGTATTTTGGACTTTTGTTTTTCAGTAAATCGATTGTTTTTTCTATTTTTATCAAAATTTTGATCGCCAAGCAACCAAGTTACGAAAAACAACAAACAAGAAAATTATTTTTTATGTTTGTGATTTTAAGAAATCGGAGCCTTTGTTTACATTTTAATATAAAAATATTCATAAAATCCTTTTAGGTTATAAAATGCATTTAAGACTAACTTGCTTGGCCTTTTAAAAATTAAAAAATGTGAAAAATTAAAATAAAAGAATGCGAAATACGCTTTCGGATTAAGAAATTGCATTAGGCGCTTAATACGGAAAGTTAGATGAGTTTCTGAATAGTTTATGTGATAGGAGAATGTTCGTTCCATAACTGAAAACTTTTTGTATGAATATAGAATTTAAGGCGGCGCACGGATTGCAACAGGCATTTTTGTGTATTTTAAAAGGCTCTAAGAGCCCTTAATTAACAGACGCATGCTTCTCTGCTCCATTTTCTTTGAACTTAATTTGCTGCGGCCGGCCGCTTTACTAAAGTTAAAAACTTTTTTCAGGGTTTTTCTTTATTTATAATTTTATTTCTTTTTTGTCTATTTAGCCATTCAGTTTAAAGCTATTTATTTTTATTTAATTGGTAACTAAAAAACATAATTGTTTAAATTTAAAAAATATTTTTAAAAATAGTATCCGCGGTTCTCTTTTTGTCTCGACATTAAATTTTTCAATTAAAAATTATTAGCAAAACAAAACGAAAATGCCGAGACATGAAATAGAATGAAAGACTTGTTTAGCATATTTTACTGAAAAAAAAGTTTGCTTTGCTCATATCACTAACTCTGAACCTAACAGCAATTTTAAAAGAGTTTCTGTATACATGTCCACAGGAACATTTAAGATACAACCTGTAAATTTTTAACATGACTTTTAAAGAAATAATCCAAATAGTTTGTCGTATAAAATAATTTATTCATATACGATTGTGAAATAGATAAGTGCGTCCGTTGAAGCGCCGAAAGCATTCCCTGCGGACATTAATATTGTTTCATTGTCATGACGCATTTATATTCTATTTAACCATTAATTAAAGCGATAACGTTCAGTGTTCATATTCATTTTGTAACGCCAAGTTCCAGATCAACACCAATATATCACCAGAATCGGTTGGAATTGCGTTTTCCATTGAGCGAACACTCATCTCATCGCTCAGTGTTGCCAAGTATGCGCAGTTCATACCTAAATATGTCGTAATGTAAGGGTGCATATTTATAAAAAAAGGTTACAAATAAACAAGCTAATAGTTCAGTTTTATTCACTATAATTATATTAACTTAAAAATATTTTATTGCAGAATCAAAGGAAAACTTGCATATTTACAGAAATAAGTTACAAATAAACGAGTTATTAGTTCAGTTTTATTCACTCTAATTATATTAACTTCAAAAAACTATTGCAAAATCAAAGGAACACTCGCATAAAATACTCAGTAAAGTAAACATGCAGTAGGTGTCCTACTTTTTAACTTAATTAAATTAGGTAAATTATAGTATTGTACTTTTTTTATTTCGAAGTACCAAAGTGGTAATTTAATTCGAGTTGTCCATTTTTTAAAAAAACCTCCAGTGGTCCGAGGTTTATTCAAATAAATCCATAAAAAAGTCTTTGAGAGTTAAATCACAGGACCTTGGATCAGTATGGCCGTCATATTAAAACCGTCGCTTGACTTTCACACTTTTCGTCAAAAATGCGGTATGCACACCAACGAATGTAAAAAATCTGCATCGTTCCGTTTGCAAATCTAAGTGACCCGTGTGTCACAGCACTGTGACAGATTTAATTCATATAAGCTTTGGTTTTAGAATATAAGTTAAAGAACATATTATTTTTTTTAAAATGGACGTGATTTAAAGATGAGGATAATATAAAAACATTTTTAAATTAATACCGTGAAGCACAAGATTAGGAAACAAAATAATTAATTAATTAATTAATTAATTTTTTTCGCGAGCGGTAAACCACTGATTTTTTTTTAAATTAAAAATCGCATACGAATTATGGCTAAGGATAACAATCAAAAGGGTAGTAATGCGCAACGCGTGGCTAAGAGAAATTTCTTATTGATAAGGATTTTTCCTTATTGATAACGACTGATAAGAAAAAAATCAGAACACAGCGCCCACATAACGTTGAACGTTGGTCTCGCCGATTTTAAAGTGGTTTACCCCCGCTTTTACGTTTACAGTTTATATTAAATGATTATTTATATTGACTCTGGATCGCGCGTTACGTCACACCAAATAAAAAATTTTACTTTGCGTTTTGTCGAGTTTTTTAAAGTTAAATGCTTAATAACTTGAAAACTTCTTGGGTGTCGTCCTTAAAGGACGTCACAATTGGTCACTGCAGCGCAAACCTCCTGTCACATCACAAATTCAAAAAACTAATATAGATATGTATAACAAAATATTTAAATTGGGAGAAATTGATTAAAAATATTGTTTAATAAGAGTTATGAAACTTTGTGACAATATGTGACAGGGGGGGTTCTAAAATCCCAAAAAAATGAGTGACATACCTTATGGACAGTCTCATACCTAATTTATGTTGATTTCAGATACCTACTCCTCTTTATCGCAAAAAAGCTAAACCGGCATAACCTAGATTAATTTATTAAAATATACCAAAAAATTGGTTCCTAAAACCTTAAACCTTTATCATGTTCCATCGTATTACACATCTGGGAAATTTTTGAGCTTAAAGACTAGATAAAAGTAATCCTCTTGCTCATTTTATTGGCTCTGCATATCCTTGCCGAATGGGACGGAATAATCTTGGGCGCGTAACGTTAGCAAAAATTTATGAAACGTTACTATCGTTAAATTCAAAAATTCGCAACATTGAAATGCAAATATTCGGGCAGAAATAACGAGCTGTGCGGAGCGGTGGCCAAATGGCGGAATAAATAAGTAAAAACACGGGCAAAAGTAATGTAATGGCAAATGCCGGTAAGGTTGAATGTTTTTCCATGAAAGGAGATAAGACGTTTTAGAACCGCCCAACGCGACGCAAGGGTGTATTTATATTTGCAAGTTTAAGATATACTTTTAAACTTTAATTATGCCTAATGCTGATTAATAATAATTGCCAATGTATATATTGGAAGAAACATCCTTATCAAATTCTTGATTAAGACTATAAGAAAATTTCATTTGATCTAATAATAAGGTTCTAATTTGATTATTTCTATATATCTATATCTATAATCAATGGTACCTTATAAATTGTTAATGGTATAATTACAATCATAAACAAATTATAAGGTAAGTACCAAAAATCAACTATTTATCTATAAAACTAATCAAAATTCAATTTTCGATTTAATTATTTATGTTCATTAACCATCAAAACTATAATTTATACACAAATTATCGTTTTAAATTATACACAGTTAAATTTAAATTTCCCTTCCCATGTTTTAGCACAAAATTACGGTATTGTACACAGGACAATAATATGAAAAATATTATTAATTATAATTATAAAAATAAAATTTATAATAATTATTATAAATTTTATTTTTAAAATTAAAAATGTCAACTATAATTTTTTTTTCAGTCCAACCTGACACATCTAAGCAGGAACACCTTCGTACCAGGAATAGGAATGGGAATAGCCAAGTGCCCATACGACCCAACTGACAACTCAACAGCTGTGTGGGTGGAAGAGGGAAATCCAGGCGATCTTCCAGGTCTTTATTCGGGAACAAACGCGGAGTTCACCAAGGCCGACACCGTCATTTTCAGAACAGACCTGTACAATCTGACTACTGGCAGAAAGGAATTCAGTTTCAAGAGGACCCTAAAATATGATTCCAAATGGCTCGACAGTAAGTTTTTCGTTTGGATAAATTTATGCGTGACATCATCCTGGGCGAGATACTGTTTCGGAACGTTTTTGTTGTGAAATAAATATGGCGAATAATTTTGCATGCAATATAATTGGAATGTAACTCGATACTACATTTTTGAAATGGTAATGCCAACAAAGTATCTTTGTTTGTTTTTACATTTATAGGTTATTTCTTAATTCTTTACATAAATTTTAAAATGTTTTAGTGCATTTTAAAATGTAAGTACATTTGATGCCATTATTTTTTTGCTCTACTAAACTCAAAAATCACAATATTTTTTTATGACAAAGTTCTCGAGATTTGATTTTTATTCAATTTGGGTCATATCCCGAGTTAGAAACTGCCAATGTGGTTGCAAAAGATGTTAAGACAATTTGTTGCCCTAGGCTAATAATAAAATGGCGCCTATAATAATTATTAGGCCATGTTAGTACCTATGGTTTTAATATAACACAATACATTTTAGCCGAAAAATCAACTGGCTTAAAGCCAGTACTTATTATTTTAAAATCCTAGATTATTGATCATGCGTTCAAAAATTTTTAGCGGGTTCGCACTGGTGCTTTGTCGGCACGCGCTGCGGTATAGGCGACATCCATCAAAGATTAAAAAAATTATTCATATTTTCGATTTTGTTATTAAAATAAAAAAGGATACGCTCTAAAAATGAATTAGTCAAAAATGACTTATTTAATAGTTATTAGTGGCTGCTTTTTCACTTGTACCATGGTTAACCATAACAAATTTCATTTTTGACTAATTCATTTTTAGAGAGTAGGTATTCCATGTTTAATAATTATAATTATTTAATTTAATTAATTTAATTAATTAATTTAACCTACTTAAAAAAATGAGCCTTCTGCCTGGGCGCCTATTGGCTTCGGGGAGCCCTAGGTTGGCCTATAGGTTAATCCAGCACTGGTCAAACTAAACATAATCGAATCGCCGACCAATATCACTTTGTCAAAGCCGAGCATTTTCGAATTATTTATGAAGAGTTTACATTTTTCGAAGAAAAAAAATAAAAATAAACAGTGTGTATCAGAGCCATTCCATGCCAAATCAACACACTTTAAAAAGAAATTTTTCCTCACCATTTCAGATTTTCCTAAAATTTGGTATACTTATACTATGTACTAAGACTAAGAAAAATACCAATTTTTAAATTTTTATCTCACACCGTTTCCGATATATGGCTATGTAAAGTTTTTAAAAACTCGCGAAAAAAGTGTGAACGTTTATTTTTTAAATTGCGCTGGAAGCTGTCCTAATTTAGTTAGAAAGCTGGGAGAGGTGTCATTTTGCAGCATTTTAAATGCTCTTTCAAATGACATACGACTGCCAAGGGTATTAATAAAAAGATTTTGTTCAAAATCCATATATATATATTGATTCAATTTTTTTTTTAAAAGTACATAATTTAAAATTCTCAAAATATTTGTATAAATACTTGGTAGTGTTCTGAATCATATAATAAAATATTAATGTGGGGTCTTAATGGGTTCATTGTTAAAAAAAATATTTTTGATGCTGGTTTTTCACTTTTAACTAATTTTGACATTATTCAACGTTTATCAGGCTGACAATTGTATTTTTTTTTATAATGTCGGCTGTTATCATTCCCGACTTGTGTAATTTAATTACTGTGATACGCTTGTTTTGGCGATTCATATTGAACTAAATTTTAAACAAAACAACATAAAATGAATATTTTCAAAAATGTAAGGGTTCTAAGAACCCTAATAATATCGGCTGCCTACATTCCCGACTTTTTTAATTCAATTACTGTGATACGCTCATATTGAACTAAATTTTAAACAGAACAACATAAAATGAATATTTTCAGAAATAAAAGGGTTCTATAGAAACCTATAGGAACCTGCTCGAGCAAACAATTTCCGCGAAAACCTTATTGATAAATTTTAAACTCGCTTAAAAAAAAATTCAGGGAAGTTTTATCGGACCCTGTATATATTCGTAGTTTATTTAAAAATAAAACTATAAATGAGGTGTGTTTAAAGTGATTTTAGTGTCAACATGGAGCCTACTATTGTAAGAGTGCAGTGTTATAATCCAATGAAAAAAACAAATCATTTTTTTTAACATGAACCCATTAAGACCCCACATTTATATTTTACTATATGGTTTAAAACAGTACTAAGTATTTATACAAATATTTTGAGAATTTTAAATTATGTACTTTTTGAAAAAAAATTGAATCAAAATATATATATGGATTTTGAACAAAATCTTGTCATTAATACCCTTGGCGTTCATATGTCATTTGAAAGAACATTTAAAATGCTGCAAAATGACACCTCTCCCAGCTTTCTAGCTAAATTAGGACAGCTTCCAGAGCAATTTAAAAAATACACGTTCACACTTTTTTCGCGAGTTTTTAAAAACTTTACATAGCCATATATCGGAAACGGTGTGAGATAAAAATTTAAAAATTGGTATTTTTCTTAGTCTTAGTACATAGTATAAGTATACCAAATTTCAAGAAAATCTGAGGTGGTGTGGTAAAATGGGTGTGTTGAGTTGACATGGACTGACCCATCAGCCAAATGGAATAAATTCGATAATACATAAATGCTCGGATTGGTATTTTCAGTTACGCATTTTTTTTAACAAAAACTTTTTGTACAGGGTGTGTCATAATAGTGGCAAATACCAACTTTCTTATTTCAAATGCAACACCCATATTCAATTTTTGGATTCTTCTAGAAATTGTACATGCATTTTATGTACAATATCCTATACTTATCTTCAACTGTTTCGGAAATATAAAAAAAATTAACATTAAATAATGATAATTATTTGATTACAGAAATTCGCTACAACAAAAATTATCAGGTGTGTTGTATCGAATTTCGATATGGTTTCAGCAAGATAGAGCACCGCCCTATTACCGAATCAATGGTCGGCAGTACCTTAACCGAATATTTCTAAATCTGACGTCATACTTCTTCTTATAGGGATATGTCACACATTTTGTATACAAAACCAAACCCCTTGACTTAGCTGACTTAAAAGACGATTAACGCTAGGGATTAGATCGGTCACGCCTCAGATGTTGAGTAACGGTATAAGTAATTTATATTTAAGATTATTATGTTGCCAAGTCGTTCACGACAGTGTGTTGTAGCGAATTTCTGTAATCAAATAATTATTGTTCTTTAATGTTATTTTTTTAATATTTCCGAAACAGGTAAAGATAGGAGTAGGACATTGTAAAGGGTGATCCCCTATAATGTCGCCCCCCTTTAACTTTTTTTATTTTAAGTGTCCCAAAACATTTAAAAGTGTGGTTACGTAGGTACATAATTCATATATCAAACCATATACCAAAATTCAACCGTTTCTGAAATATTCGCATTCGAAATGTTTTTTTAAACTGTTAGAAATCAAGAAGCCTCAGTATACCAAAATTTTTATTAAAAATAAATTACTATAGTTACATAATGTCAATATGTCTTGTTAAATAAGTAAAAATGGCGTACTCAGACAGAGAAAGACTTATTATCTTAAAAATAATTAAAAATAATTATTTTATTATTATTATAAAATAATTATTTTCACCTGTTTCTGAAATTGGTATTTAAATTATAATTTAAATACCAATTTCAGAAACAGGTGAATTTAGGTATATGGTATGTTATATGAAATATGCTTAAAATTTTACAAGGAATCGAAAAATAAATACATATACAGTGTGTATTAAAACGAATAGATACACTCAAATAAAACAAGTGCCAAACCCCGCCCACTGTGGTAGGGATTGAATTTGTTTGCTTGCCGTATCATTGTCGTATGATCTGTGCGCAGTGTTGCCAGCGTCAGTACGTTTGTCCGAATTCAGTACTTATATCAAATTAAAAAAAGTACGCAAGTACCTCGTTGATGGTTTTCGGTACGTTTTCCAGTTTTAGATTTTTTGCCTTTATTTAAATAAAAATTAAAGAAAAAATTAAAAGTTTAGGTTTTAAGTTTTAAACTGTTGGTAGGGCGGTTTGTTCCAAGTTCGCCAAGAACCGCTCATAGGAATAATAGGAATTATTGAAGCCAAATACCTCAATCTTTGTTAAAAAAGAAAATTAATTATTGATAGGTAGAATATTTTTTAATTTTACCAACAATATTGTTTTTTTTTCTAAGTTTTTCTGTATAGGTATAATAATTATTATTATTATTATTAATAATTATCTATTTTGTTCTTTTGATGTTTATAGTTTATTTATGTGCATGTGTTTATTGATAAAGTACAAAATAAAATTACGTTCATATAAGTTTAATATTTATTTCTCAAAATTGGAGGAAAACCCAAAGTCAGTACGTTATCTTTCAAATTCAATACGTTTTTATTGCCATTTCAGTACTTTAATTTTTCTAATACTGGCAACACTATCTGTGCGTCAGTTTAGGTGCACTGAGACTTTGCGTACGTCTTTGTAAGAATAAAAAGTATTTTCTCAAATAAAATGGTTTTTACCCGTGAGGAAAAATACCAAATTATGGTATGGCATCACACTGGTAGATCGTATCGCCAAACAAACTTTATTTCAAAATATGTTTCAAAATAAGCCTTTGCCATATGCTATTATTGTTTCCTAAAAGGGTTGTTTTTCTTATTTTTTAATATTAAAAGTAAGAAAATTAACTAACTCAAATTATTTTTGACATATTATTAATTTTTTTGTTATTTTTAAAGTTTCAAGCAAATAAAATTGAACTATTTATTAAATAATTATATTCGTTCTCTTCTGATTTTAAACAACCTGGCAACTATGGTTCGTAATTACGAATGGCTTGGTTTAAACCACGCCCAATTAAAGTTTGTTTCTTTTTCTCTGATCAGAATATAATTTGTCATCCTTGTCTCTGGCCTTACTTACTTGATTCTATACAGTCTGTATATATATATATATATATATATATATAGGGTGATCCATTGAAAAAAAGTAAACTTTTTGTTT